GGGGGGGTGGGTGGGTGGTTGGTTTATCGCTGTCTACGTCCCGAGGCTTCTCCAAGGAAACTAACACGATTTGCAGGGATTTTGACTAGAGTGCAGCACCAGCGGGGAGGACTAGAGTTCAATATTTAATATGAGTTACGCCCTTTCGCTTAATTTTATCTACTAAACGTTATTACAATATTGTGAACATGTTTGCAGGACCTATGACCCAGCTTTATACAGAAAATGTACTCTCTCAGTATGCATGCACAAGGTAGTCATATTCATTCCTTAAAAAAATAATTCTCTCACACCCACAATTCTCAGATACTTAAAGTTGCCTTATTAAATTATCATTATATGAGTAGGTATATATAGTATATATATTATTCCGAAACATTACTCACACGATTGGTAATTTCGTCGCTAAATATTTTTTCTGTTTATTTCTCGTATTTTCTGTAAATTCTTTTTTTTTTTTATAACTTTGTATGTAATCAGGAACTCCTATACAAGGTGTAACGCGTCATCCGGTTATCCCTCGGAGAGGCGAATGAATTTTCACCTAAAAATTCACACCATGAAGGATATCCGGCTGATGTTAACACATATATATATGTATACATATAGTTCATATACTGTACCATACTATATGTACCCAGTACGCAGACCTCTTTAGTCGGGCGTAGTTACGCTTACATAATATTAACGCTTCGAAGCTTATGGAAAAATCTTTATTTTCTATGGCCTCATCAACACGCGCTGCTCGAATCATGCTACTCGTTACTAATATATGGTTTTACATTCCGTTTGTCATGTTCGACAGTTATACGTTAGGTACACGTGAAATATGGACGATTTCGGATAAGAGTGAATTCTTATTTATTTTATTGGAATTGAAAGAAAGTCGAGCTTGTATGCTCTGGCTGGAAATTTTCTAGAATCGAGTAATTATACGTAAAAGAATTTTTATTGGAGAAGAAATTTTTTAAATAGTGTTTTTTAGTTTTGAAAATCCCACGGCAATTCAACGTGGCGCAACGCCAAGGGGTCATACGTCTCGGAAAGGGAGTAATCCTTTTAAGGGAAACGTACTAGTAGGTGGAGCGCAGTGGGGAAATAGGTGAAAAGGTTCGAAAGTTATATATAACTTGTGAAAAGCTTACCAGTATTTCTACACTGTACTGAAACATATAGGGTGATTTAAAAAGAGATAAAATCCTGGATAAGGGAATAAAGCTTATGCTGGAGATTCGAGCAGAAACGTCCATTCATTTCACCCCTTGTGTTTTTTCTCTACTATTTTCTACCCTCTTGGTGGATTTCGCGCGGCCAACCTTTAATGGCTATTTTGCAGTTACTCGGCGAGGAGATATACAACACGAGAGAAAAGGAATACACGAAGCGCGCGAGAACGTTGAGAAGTGAGAATTCAAGTAGATCAGTAAGTCCCGATGCAGAAATTTCGAGACCCGACAACCTCGGCTACGAGGACAGCCTGGACGTCGCCTTCGAGCACAACAATAAGCTACGTGACAAGATACAGCAGCGGATGCGTGAGAGTGAAGATCTGATAGCCAGTACTTTTGGGCAGAGAAATAGCGAAAGCGAGTTACCACGTAAAAGGGCAGAGGAGCAGGATCACGAAGACGGTGGTACTTATGGAAACACTGAAGAACGTAGGGACGTATCGAATCTCATTACCAAAGAGGAATATCTGAGAGAGCGTTGCGACGATAGAGCAGAGTCAGCCAATCTGAACGATCAGAACGTCAAAGACATCCCTCTGGACTCATCTGGCTTCAAGAATAAGATGAACTCCGCACTAGGAGGTCTTCTTGACAAGGCCCTCTCGAATTTACTTCACAGCAACGGGAAACACGATCACAAGTGAGTTCAGTTGGGTTTCCTTTGTAATTTCTCAATATTTCTTCAGTATATATATACGTTTATATCCTTTTATATCCTTCTGCGACACTTTGAACTTGCAATGTCTCAGAGCATCAGGTTGATGTACACGGTGGAGGAAATTAGGATCAGTCGATCAAGCATCTCGGTTTGGGAAATCTTCAATGATGGCGCTAATGGTTCCTGGAAATTAGCGTGATTCAGGATGACGGTTATGAAATATCTATGGAGAATTAGGCCATGCTGTGAATCGGGACTCTGCCCCGAGGAACAGAGGATCCTGGGGATTTTCCAGGATGAAGAAAATTATGAGAGCGAGAAGGGAATGCAGAAGGCACTTGGTTACTTGCTTGGTTCTCTTCTAACCTTAACTGGAGGGATTCGCGTTAAATTGGTCCTTGGATCCAGGGACAGGCTCCTTTCGATTTACTCAGAACGACCTGGATTGTCCCTTTTCTCTCTGTCATTATACTTACTCCCCTTTGCTCTTCTTCAAGGGAGAAGAATATCCATTGCTGATGATCGTTCTAGAAAATACCACAATCCCAAAGTGACAGATTCCAATTGTAAGATATGGTCGTGTAAACCTTCTCTTCGATTTTCACAAGTGACCTGAGGTCTTCGATTATTCCTCGAGGATGCTTCCTTCGTTGGTATCACCATCCTGTGGACATTCGTCATTCATAAAGATACCACAAAACTGGCTGAGGCTACCTGACGAAATTAATTATAACTTGACACCTGATATGGGTTCAACAGGTGATATATGAGTTTTAGACCATTAGATTCTCTGTCCACGATCCAACTGTCAATCAAGATTTCAAAATTTGCATTATTCTAGGTTATTTCTCAGGAAACAAGCAGTCTCAAACTTTTGCAAACCATTAATTGACGTATAAATTTTAAAATTTTAGAGTTTGTTTTCTTACTAACCTAAGCCAGGGTTTTGTAAGCAATATCGGTGTGATCTAAAATCTAACTGGAATTTCGTTATAGCAATAACTGTCCTGAGGTAAATTCCCACGGTGCTAGCTGCAACATTTGAAACCACTCCTAGACACGTCCTTGCAACACCGATCGACTGTTGGACAGTATTCACAGTTTATTGTGGTTGCTGGATATTTCGATAAAAACTTTAACAGTCCAATTGGATATTCGAATAGAATAAAAATTCCATCGACTTGGATTGTGGTCAAGTTTTAGCGATGCTATCCGTATGATTCTTGGCCTCAATGGCAAGTATTGATCTGATACACTCCGCACCTTCAGCTAGTCTGCTGTCTGATCTAATATCCTCTCCACTTCAGAAGCGCTGAATGTTATTTGCTGTATGAGGAGCAATTCAGATTTCATGTATTTTCCATTCCAAATTGCATGAGAGGGAAAATATCATGTTTCGATGTGAGAATTCTTTCAAGAATTTAAGACTGCAAAGGAGACATCTGCCGACAGTGGCTCCTCTAGCGGAAAATCGTATATCACTATACCTTGCGTCTTCTGAAAAAGAAATTTATATGAAATTAATATTGAAGAAATAATATCCCATGTGAAATATGGTTCTAAGAATTTTAAGATCTTACTATTTTTAGATCTCTTCCTAAATGGATGACGTAAGGAACAGAGTGATTATTCTGTGATTAAATAATTATTAGAGAATTTGAAAAAAGATACCGCGATCAAGGATCAGGGTGTCAAAAGGCAAAAGTCAGAGGTTATATGAAGTCGTGGCGGAGGGGTTCTTTCCGAAGAACGAATTCCTCATTTCCATGTTCAAGTGATCTGTCAGCATTTTTTTTAAGAGACTAAATTTTTTATAGGGACGAGACAATCATCCTGGAATTCTCTAGGACCTGAGTCAAGCAATTGGCATTTGCCATTTATATCATAAAAATTTCGTGGACTTATTAGGCGGGTAATAACCATTAATTCTTGTAATTAATAATTTACCTTTTGTGTTTTTAGTGGTTCAACGCCGATGAAGGTCCTGGCTGAACTTGCGTGCGCTCGAGCACCAACATCCACCAGTGCAGAATCCCTACAGGATACCAGGAAACTCTCGTACAATGCACGAGGCTCGGTCCTTGATCCTCCCCTAAATGCATTGAAGGATCCACTGGTGAAGAAGATACGAAATCCCATCAAGGAACTGTTCGAACGGAAAAAGGAGATTAACGAGAGGAAGTATAATGAGAAAAGCAAAGCGGAGGCTGCCCTGAAGGAACTGAATGCGCAGAGACAGCGGAAGACCAAGAAGACACGTAGACGACAGGAATTTCCATTGGTTCGCAAAGGACCTCATGGCGGTTTAGTCGAGAGAAAGAAGCGTCGAGATATTTTCAGTAAGAAAGACCATTCGATAGGCGATGAAAAGATCAAGGATGTTTATGATTTTGACGAAGAAGAAAGTCAAATGGAAACTGGATTTGGTAACGTAATGCCTTATAGAAGTAAAATTGAAAAGAGTTACGAGATCAGCTGTCTAAGGACGAAGGACGTGGACGTGGCGGGATTGATGTCGAAGGCCATCGACGAGACTTTGGAAAACGGGGTGGAAGGTGATGTTCTGGGTAGACGATTGGAGTCTATGATAGATAAGAAGTTTAAAGAAATGGAGAAATTTGCACCGAAAACAAAGGGTGCATTGAAGTCCTTCCAGGCTGATGTCAAACAGGACGTCACAGGACCAATGGATGATTATGTAGAGCGAAACAAGCAACGCCAAAAGAAGTCTAATGAGCAGACAGTGAAACAGATGAAGATACGAAAAAAGAATAAAAGTCCAAAGAAGAAATCAAGGAATGCTTGGTACGAGAATGATAGTTCGGATGAGTTCAGGACAGCTGCCAAGGCCGCGGATGTTGGTGTAGGTATCACTAAGAGTCAAAGAACTTGCTCCAAGGGAAAGCAAAATTTGTTTGCTGAATTATCAACTTCGTCTGAAAGTGAATACGAGGAGAATGACATGGACTATGAAACCAAGAAAAGGCAGATTGGAAGGACGGCAAAGAAGATTGTTGAGGATCCTGTGGAAAATGCTGATGAGCAATTTGATGAGAACAAAGCTTTGATCGATACTGAGGAAAATAATGAAACGGAAGCGGCCGACTTGGATCAAAATCGTTGCGATTTTTCAATGGCTTCCGAAAAGATGAGGACTGACTCGGAAACGAAGAAATCAGAATCAGAAATGTCTGAGCATCCGTTAGTGATTGATGAGAGGAAAGAAAGTGACGAACAAAGAAACAGTGACGATGACGTTGATACACCGTATGATGGATCATTCGAGCTTGATGATTTATATAGAGAAGATAGTTCCGTTTCCGAATCAGATAACGAACAACCCAATAAATTGGAGCAGAACGACCAAGGCAATCAATCAGAAAAAGATTTGGCTTTCCAAGATAAATCCAATAGTGAAACGATTTGTGAAAACAAGTATCTGAAGGAGAACGAATTAATTCCTCTGGAAGAGGCACTGGATCTTTTAGATCGTTCAGAGGATCTCAAGACCATTTCAGAAAAGCCTTCAGAGAAGATGATAATGGATTCTCAACTCCAAGAAACAAAATCAGGTACTAATCTACTCGAAGAAACATCTGAACCCATCGAAGAATCACAGATGAATGAGAATGACGAAGAAGAGGAAGTTGAACACCACGAAGAGGAGCTCATTGATTTACCAGAGAAATTATCGACTAATGAAAAACCAGAAAAAGAATCTGAAAATCTTCCACTTCACGTGTTTCTGAGTAGGAAGGTTCAAGAATCAAAAAAGAGAAAACAACAGCAACTGAGGAAGCTTCAGGAAGAGCAGGAGAGAATTCTTATGGATTTCCAACCAACCAGGAGACAGAGAAAATGTGCCATCGGCAAACAGGGTCTCTTAGCTGAGATCAGCAGCTCTGACGAGGAATCATACTCCAGGGAGACATACAGAAAGTTCACTGAGAAGAGTGAACAAGACAGATCACGAAAACCCAAACGTGAATCAAAGGAGAAGCGTAAGGAGAGATATATGGAGAAGAAGCACGAGCAAATGATAGCCAAAGAACAAAAGGCCATCGAAGAGGAGATTCTACGAGAAGTTGAAAAGAAGAAAGAGACTTTTCCAAAGGATAACCTTGATTCTGACAAAGATACCTCATGTCGAGATGAATCTCTGAATAGAAAGGATCAGGAAGAGTACAAACAAAGTCAGACAACAAAAAGTAAAATAAACCACAGGAAGAGACAAATCAAACAGAAGCAAAAAAGACCAAATGAAGAATCTCAGGATAACGATCAAAAGGATCCAGTTGAACATTTCGGCGAACTAAACACCAACTGTGATAAAGTTAACGCAGAAATCGATTTCGATTATACAAAGCAGAAGAAACAAACAAGATCACCAGCCAAATCTCGAAAGACCACGAAATCTGATGGCAAGCCTGCAAATGGCAGCAGAAAAAGTAGAAATTCAAATAGCGATCGTTCAAAAAACAGATCAATATCTGCCCATAGTAAAGATCCAAAAGATCGACGTCCCTCCAGTGCCAAGTGGGGTTCTGATGATGAAGAATTAAGGACGACTAAATCCTGGAACAAAGTCGAGGAAGGTGTGGGAGTGGCGATTGGTCGTCGAAAAAGAGCAGCAGCCAATCAGCTTTATTACTGGTCGAGTTCGAGCGACGAAGAAGAGCCAATAGAAACGGCGCCAACGGTCGAGGAAGAAGACGACCGTCAGGAACAGCACGGCTGGATAGTCGGTGATTCTCATAAGAGAATGATAACGATGTTAGCAATGGAAAAGCAGCTAAAAGAAAAACGTAGAAGAAGCGAGGATGAATTCGAATCTGGAAAGGCAAAAAATAAGAAGCACAGAAACAGCACATCTTGATACGTGTTTCACGATTAGACTATCGATACTTAGATGATTTTTTCTTGTTATTCTTTTCCTTTTTTTTCAACTCACTGCTGTTAATATTATTTTCATTACTCGCATTAAATAATCGCAACGCGACAAAATTCACTGTTAGTACTACGAGTATGATCGTGTCTCTGTTTATCTACAATATATGTAATGAGTAAAACACATCCATCCTTGTAGTACTAACAGCGAATTCATGAACTTACCCATAGACAGTCAGCCTAGTTTGTCATTAAGTCATTAATTTTTCGATTTTGAACCATAATGAAACTAACCAACAGATCCACAAACTGCCAAGAGACTTCGAATGTTTTACTAATCGTTTCTGCAATGAGAGCCTATAGGGAGTGCATTTTTTCGCGAGTTAAATAAATTTCAAAAAGGGCTCCGTGAAAAATTAGAACATTTTTAAGATATACCTAAGTAGATGTAATAACGTTAAGAGTTAAGAAAGTTGTAAGAAAAAGTCGCCTTGTACATAGCCGCTTGGCGTTATGATAGTTAGGTATACAAAGATATAAATACAAATAAATATACATATATACATATTATATAGAATATATGTATCTATATGTATAGATATACTTAGCGTCCACTCATCCCTTTCCACAAGAATGTAATTATAAGTTCGTATTCAACAATGCAAAGGTGTAACGTTTTAGACTGAATGTACGAAAATATTAGAAGCGATAGGAGCACGTGGAACGGTGAGCACTTTTAGACAATACTAGGTGAAATTTTTGAACGTTTATTTCCTAATTAGGCTTTAGAGTGAAATTGAGGAAACACGCATGCACGATAAAATGTGAAAATGTGTGTAAAAAGATGTTTTCTTCTGACGGACAATGTAACGGGGGTCCAAATCATGAAATAACGCTTTTTGCCGGCTTTTCGTAAACTCTCACATATCGTAGGAATTCTAATAAAAGTGAAAAACTTAATTCGGAAAGTACGTTAAGTGTAATTCAAATACTGGCGCTGTGGCCGCTTGTAAAGGAAGCTTATCCTAGCCGGTGCCAACGCATTAATGAAGAAGAAATACGGGCGCTGGGGGGTCGCTTCACGTTATTCAAACGCTGATGTGAAACTTTAATTTCCTAATTACGTTATTTCACGTTCAAATTGATAGATCTCATGTTATGGCATAGGGCGCCCGCGATGTAAAGCTATTGTAGTTAAAATAGAAATTAATTTTTTTTTCTTTCGTTTCGTTTTTGATATGCCTAGCGGGTGCACATAATAATAACGAAGTATAAATTTTTTTTTTTTCATATGGATTACGAAAGAATTCTATGTATTACGATGAATGATAATAGACTTTATTGTAAATGTACTGCCATAATCATATAATTATATTACGAGAGCCTACGAGAATAGTTATAGATATTATTCCTGTAAAGATTAAAGAAGAAAAATTGAGGATGTTGGCACAAAAATACTAGGTACATTCAATGTAAATAGAGCATATTTTCAATGTGTCTGAAAAAAAGTATGTTTTGTAATATAAGCATTGCAAAAGAAAATAAAACTATTAAACAAAATTATTCCTTGATTATTAAATTACATACCTAAACACATATGTTTTAGTTAGCATGAATTCATAACGAATGTTACACTATGGAGTTTCCTCACTTTTTATCTCTCACTTTGAACTATTTTAATTTTAACTCAATTACGTATATAAATAGAAAACTTTCAATGTAATTGATATACGTAATGTGCATGAAACGTGCAACAATAAGTGCCATTAAGTTTATAGGTTATGTCATAATTTCTTAACCTCGCACCCGGCAGTGTTGACTGTTAATAACTGTTGCTAATTGTCACGCATACCTTTACGTATTTCGTGCTTCAACCTATTATTATAATTAGTTTTCATGAAACGATCTTACATGGAAATGGAGCATTCCAACAGCAGTGTACCTAATAAAGGTAAGAATCAAATGATTTCTTATAAAGCAGTGGCATGTTATGTTAGCATCTGTGATCTGTTGTACAAATCTTGATTTATTACTATTATTTTAGAAATAATCTTTTGGTTTTAGTCGTTCTTGTTGAGCGGAATGTGACTCCACAGGGTATACCATTACTCAATCCAACTATCATTGCCAAAAAGGGCTCAAATGACCTGGTCGAGTTAGCAATAGAAATACAACAGGTATTTTCCATACTTATATTTGTTATATTACCAATATTCAGTGATTAAAATTAAGGTGAATTTCTATTACATCATATAATTGACGTTCCCTACAGGCTGATAATTACGTTAAAGCCAATGTATGTAACAAGCTACAAATGATTGCACAACAGATGAATTTCCTTAAGAAACAAGCTGAAACTGTTCTAAAAGAGGCAAAACAAAATTCTATACTCAATCATGCTGCTTGTAACTTTATTAAACATCCAGGACACGTTTACCATTTATACCAGAGAGAATCTGGACAGATTTATTTTTCTATGCTGAGCCCAGAGGTATGTTTTTAAATACATAATCTTATGAAATTGTACTTAGCAAAAGTATTTTTGTAAAATGTTCCATGGGTGTATTTCTATCTCACAGGAATGGGGTGCCTCTGGTCCACCACATCGTCATAAAGGCTCCTTCCGACTGGAATATGATCGTTCATGGACACCTTTATCTGATATTTCGACTAAAGATAATGAACTTACCATAATTAATAAATTCCTTCAAGCTACTGAAACTTCCATGTGTCCTTCTATCATTGACGGTATGATCGTGGATTCGTGATATCAAGAATGCATCATATTGATCTTCTAGTACGAAAGAATAGATAGACACTAATTCTTAATTTCCTATTGTATATTTGCGCTCATAAATGATCAGTTAAATAGTAGAGATGCAATTAAAGATTTATTTTTCGTCCCATAGGAATTTATTAGCGTCTTAAGGATAAATAATCGATATTTGGACTTGATTCATAATGGATTTAGAAATAGACGTTCTATATTAAAAAGTAATTATTACTTCAACAATGATATATTTATTGTTAAAGAAACAGTCATTTCTTGTAATATATATTAACAAGTGTTTCTTCAATAATTCACTAACAATTTAATGCCACAAGTGACTATGTTTCTATGAAGTAACCTTAGATCAGATCAAAATCAATAGCGACAAACAAATTGATATGCTAATATAAGATAAATAAGCAGACTGACCATTTTAGTATCTTCGTGTACCATTAGAGATGCCTATAGACGATCAATTAAAGCTTAAAATTATTGTAACTATACAGAATTAATCACCAGGCAAATTCTGCATAATCAGAAAGTAGATATTTTTTTTATTTAAAGAAAATTTATGAAAACTTATTCATGCAAACAGAATTTCCAATTTGTTTCGCGCATGTATTATGACATTTTCCTATTATGTTTGAATACTATGATTTTACTTACAATATTTATATGAATTTTACTTCTGTGAAATAATAGCCGTGTTATAACTCGCAAAAGTATACTTACGTACTTTTACATTTGCATTAATCGGTAACGATTAATTCGATGTCACAAATGTACAATTCAAGGATAGATACTCGTTAATTATAGTTAGTTTTGAATACAACTAACATCATTACGTAGAGAATGTATAATAAAAAAAATCAATGTGTATTTTCCTCTGTTTCTTTACAAGTTTTTATAGAATGTCCTGAAATTAAAGAAAAAAGACCATTACTCCCGTTTGGCCCGTGAAGCAAAATGATCCTACAGAGAAAAGTGATTTATCTGCGTTTATGTATTGCGGCAGATGATGAAACAGACAGGAAGTCACGTGTTCCTGGAAGTTCAATGATATTATTATACAAAGCGCAACTGATTTCACTAACGTTAAATATGCCATAAGAGCCATTTTTTCTCGAAAGACAATTCGAATCCTAGGAACGAATTAAGGATACGGGAACTAACGCAAATCATCAATTAAGGTTACGATGGCTTCTTTTTGTTTTGGTATGAAACCGTTTGCGTCATGTGGTATTCACACGATGTGCTGTGAATAAAAGAAATAATAAGTCAGCTAAAAAAGTAACAGACTGAAACATATAATATTCTATTTCTTGAACTTACATTGTTTTGGTATCCTAAGAGGTTCGTTATCCTTTATAAGACACTCGTGCGTTTGCGTATGAAAGAGATATTGCAGGAGAAGTTGTTTATCTTCCCCGACACAAGGATCGTAAAAACCAGGTAACTGGCTCTATGAAAATAAAATATCTAGCTTACATTAAAGGACCAATTCTCATCGACGAGTAATAGTGGCAATAACAATAAAATAGTGACCTTTGATGCATTGTGAAGAACAAGTTTTGAGTCTTTGACCAGGCATTGTAGTGGGATAGTTACATCTATGACCTCATCTCTATGACCATTAACTCCATCTTCCCCAAGATTTCTATCTTGAGGATAGACAAACCTTCCATAAAGTGCCTTCGTAATAACTAGACCTCTTTTCGATTCCTCTTCTGATCTAATTCTACTGAAAGTAGCTTTCATAAGATCAACAGCTGCCCTAGCTTCTCTTTGTTTTTCCAACATCCGAGATTTATTCATCTCTCGCTGCTTCTCCTTGTCGCGTTCTTTTTGCTCCCGCATCACCGGGTCGATGATCAATTTTTTTACAATCGTCCACGTTATTAGTGGCGCCACCGTCGCGTAAAATACTGGTGCCGGGAATACCTCGTCGCACAGATGAATTGGAAACGCATACGTTTGAGAAGCGCGACTCAGTTTGATTTTTAAGGTCACACCCATCGGTACTCCAACTCTGACTGCTGCGGAGAGTGCACTATGCTTCGATACTTTCTTTTCAGCACCATATTCTACAAAAGCTCCAAATGTGCCAGCTCTGTAACAATTAATATCTTTGGATATGCTATTGCTGATAAACATTATTGGAGAGAGAATACGAATAGCAATACTAACTTTATACATCCACGTAATTTCATTTGTCTTTCCTCCATTTTGTAGGTATAATTAAGGCTTGCGTATGAGTGCAGGATTCCAAATTGTATTGAAAAAGCAGTGTACGATTGAGATGTGTCTCTTACTATCATTGTGCTCATTGCACTCTGTAAACCAGCCCTATACGTGAGATAGCCCACTGTATGTTTATCTAACTGCATTGCCAATGCTATAATGAATGATTTCATCAATCAAATTATATTAATAAATTTTATCGGTTTATCTAAATCTAGTGATGGATATGTTACGCACTTCCCACGAGACCCGGTCTAATCCCGTGTCCTGTGAATTGTAAAATTGTTGCCCCATTGCAAAATAATCTTTTTGTTAACGTCCTAAATCCTTTTAGTGATATTACAGGTCCGTTTCCAGCACCGACATCCAATTCTATCCAGCCTTTTGATGATACTAAACGTCTAGCACCAACGTTAATAGAACCTGTGCCAGTTCCATTTTGAGTACCCAACTGACCAGACATCGTAATAGTGTCTCTTAATGTCAAGGGGGCTTCTATCGATTGAGCAAATGACATGCCGCTAACTTCAACCGATGAAAAAATTCCAGGCCTGTAAAAGTGATTAGTACTTTATGTTGCCAATATATTAGCGTGATAAATGAAATTGATAGTTTTAAATAATAGCTTACGGCTCTTCATAGTCATCATCGTATCTACTAAAAAGATCTGTTGCATTGATGTTGACTATAACGCTGCCTTTGGGATTTGTACGTTGCTGTAGCCTTCTTTCTTCTCTTTCTCTTGCTAGGCGTTCATACTCTTCTCTTATTTCCTGAGGAGTCTTTGTACGCTGAACAATTTCCCATCCCTCTGTTTCAAGGCCACGGGTACCCAAAGAATCATAAATTGCTCTCTGGTGAGGGTCACTTAAAACTGCAATAAACATTATGATTATTATTTCATACAACAGCCTAACTCTGTTAATTATGGCACAAAATTTAAATATATGATACCTTCATATGCTTTCTTTGTACGATTGAAAAGGACTTCAGCCTCTTTCTTAAGGACGGGATCTGCATGTTTATCTGGATGGTATAATCTACTTTGCCTACGATAAGCATTGTTAATTTCTTCAGGAGCTGCCTGTAATCACAGAATATAACAGTAAGTCATAAATATTCAAAAGTATATATTACAAAATTATGATATGTGTACTGTATGTGTCAAATATGCAGTTATCTCACAACTCATGCTTAGTATAGAACAATTTGGGTGTGCCTAATTTTAATAGACATATATATATATAATAAAAGATAGAGTAAATATTTGCTCACAATGCTACTTGAAAATACTTGAATTGTTGAGTTATGCAAGTTTTGCTTAGGAGAACAATTGTAATGAATGTTTTAAGTTTACAGAATTGATTCTGAGTGATAATGTGAACCATTTAAATTTTACACGCTATTGTTTATTTCTATATATGAAAAAATGGAAATGCACTGCAAAAATTCCGGTGATAAATTTAGCCGAATTCACGTGTAAAAGTTGAGTAAGAGTAACCGTCAATGTTCTCTAGCTTGTATCAGACTTTTTCAACATTTTTTAAACAGATTTAGTCAGATATTTTTTCACCGGCTTTTTTTCATAATTAAGGGTTTGATTACGTCAGCGTCGCAGAAGAGAAAGTCACGTGGAGGATTAGAGCAAAAATTGATCACTCTCCATCTCTGTTAGAAAATAGAATTGTATGATGTAAAATAACTACATATTCTCACGTTTCTTGGTACGTTCAAAAACGTATAGAAGTCCTCTTCAATTATATTGTCCTGTTCGATATCGTCGTCCATTTTAAATCCTATAAATTTTCTTTCCTTCAGTGAACCTCAGGATCCAGAACGATATTTTCTTCACTCAGTCTTCTGCTTTCATAGGTTACGAAATTGTCTGCAGACCGGCTTTTCTTAGTTCAAACAACATTTACAGACGGCAGCAGTAGCTCAGTTAAAAAAATGCCATGGTTTACCGACTGCCGGTAATTTTTACACGAAGAAAAATGATTTTACCGACAGATCAGAAGAACCAACTTTTTAAATCTATATTACGACCAACGTAAGAATACCCAATATTGCTTTTAGTAACTCCGCCATTGTTTGGAGTAGGGTGCCTCTACCATTGAATAGATAGGTCCCAGTAAATGGACGCATTAATGTAAATTATATTTATATATAGTAACTCACACGGATATCCATTCAGTAGAGGCGTTTCTTAACGTGCTCATCCACCGATGGATTTACCCCATAACAATTAAAAAGACACGATCGCCATTAAACGAAATAGTGCCCATATCCAGGTATCAAAATTTTCGCAAAATAGACCTCACAAAATGATCAAGAAGCTTTAGTGTCTTAAAAAAAATTCGAACGCCAAGATGCGCAACGTTACGACTCTCGGTAGCTCATAGAAACAAGCGAGTAACTCAACGATCCAGGCAGTGGCCAGTACGCAAGAATGAGAGGGAAACCGTGGACGTTAAATCGGCATGAAAGGTAATATTGTTCGATGGCTGCTCGCTCAACGTAAACATTTACGCCTAAGAAACCAAAGCATAAAGCCGTCGTCCGTGGTTGGGCCCAATGTTTAAACGACGGCGTGCGCCCTAATTTATGGGCCTTTTTAGGGCACGGTCGTGCCGTATTAAGTTTTAAGTTTTAACTGCCCTCCCGTCTGGAGTTTGGGGCGAAGCAGGAGCACGCGATGCAGACGCGATCTATGCGTTCAACGACAAACGAGAACTGGACGGCAAATAAGACTGCAGTCTGGGACGAAGGTGCGTGACGTTCCTCAGGCTGCAGGTACAACCAGGACTAGAGACAAGAAGAAAGAAAAAAAGGAAGAACAAGGTCCGTGAAATAACACTACCACTTAGATTGGCAAGCAGTGCTACCACGGCACCAGCACTGGCAGCACTGCTCATGGAACGTGACCGCGTGGTAATCGCTCCTGTCTCGCCTTGCCGCGACAAACGAACGACTATAAAATCGCAATAAACTTGGGGGCGAGGTTAAGAGAAAAGCTGGGGAGGCCACGGGAGCGAGATTGCTTTGACATTCTTAAATCATAACAGAGAGTCCCTGTAGCGGCGTGGCCTGGAATATATATATATATGTATACCTTATTTCTCGACGAGAGAGAACAAAATTCTATTTGTACGTATATAAGTTATGGTATCGTGAATTAAGAAAATGTAGAAATTTTTAATAAGTGGATATATTATTTCTTTGGTTACAGACACTTTGACAGTTTATGGGTATTATACAATAATATTATTATATTATAATACTTATACGCGACAAGAAAGAAATAAAGGCTGCCACCATGGTGGCGTATAAAGTAATCCTCATAATCGCGACATAAGCATCAACAATAATGTTAAACGACGAGGGAAACAATTGAACAATCGGGACCGATGTGTTGGCAAACATTGGCATTGTACTGGCCTAACAATACCCTGTTATGCTGGCAACATTACCTTCCGTTGCTCCCACTTTAGGTCAACAATTCGCTCACTCGAGCATTGCCACTGTTGAAAAATATCCGGTCGAGCCGCTCACTGCTCTTTCTCTCTGTTTCTTCTCTATTTTCATTTTTCTTCTCACTTGCTCTTTCTTCTAACATACCTATACGTTTTTATATATTGTACAACCTGTCGACGTACGTTACCCACAAGTCTTATTAGAATAAAAAAAGAATTTAAAAAAAAACTCAATAATCTTACAATAATTGAAAATCATTTAATTGCGTAACAATGTTGTTAAAAAAATAACAAAAAATATATTACCAACGGAAAAGACCCGTGAGAAATGTCAGAATGATCATCTTGAGTAATAAATATTTTTTAATCCAACAGTGTCTCGTATCGGAACATCTGGCAGTTTGATTGGAAATAGGCTGAAGCACACGAGGCATAATTTACAAAACATTTCAATTAATACCAGTAACAACGAATTGATATCCTTTTACGGTCTGGCAGATTCCTCGACGAGAAAGACTCTTGCGCAGGTGTCACACTCGTGTTACGAATCATCGGCTACGTATGCGTATGGGATACGTGCGTATGGAATACGCAGGACTTGCATTACGTAAGTGTGTACAGTCCTTTCCGAGAAATGCAATTCGCAAAAAAAAAATGTCTGGGTTGGAACTTTTGCAGAGACGAGGTCGGTGTCGATTACGTCGTCAATTTTGTAAGACAATGTCCCATTTTTTTTGTCACGTTTTTACGCAACGCATAACCTAAATTATGAGTTCGATTCTAAGAAGCGATTCGCGTCAACGTATAATGTTTATGGTCGCTGGATCACCGTCGACAAATATCCTGCTTAATGTTTATCGATTCGAATTTATCCCGCTTGATAAGCGGCTCTGCTGCAACTTCTCAGGAATACCAATTGTTTTTCTTACCGAGGATGAATGATTAAACCTCGTCGTCGTTGTCATTTAGGTTATATTTTTCATCATTGCTAGGGAGTTGCGTCGGTATCTTGTTTTTTTATAGATTCCAGCTATACCGACACAAAAGACCTTCCGTGGCTTATGTTTTGACGTGCTTCGTTAATCCTTAGGGACTGTGTTTAGGTTATATGTACTCCTAATCTGGAGTCTGGACAGTTCGATTCCTTAGTTTATACCTAGTTATTGTATTAGCATACATGTTATTGTTACTCAATATGATTTTATGGTGTCACATAGCGTTGAAGATCTTACCAATAGACACTGGGTTGTGATTGTATTTGTGTGATAAGATGCCACTGCTATGAAATTATCTCGCTTGATTTTAGTCTGTAGAGAAAATTTGGAGGGAGTTAGGGTATTTTTTTACCATGTGTTTTTATAATTTTTTTTATTATTGCAATTTTGCAGATCTAGAGTTATTACTGAAAAGTATGACGGTTGAGGAAGTTATGGGTGCTATTAATTTTTGTAAATCTACACGGGGATGTTTGTGCGGTGAGATTCGTTCGAGCGGAGTTGAGAAACTCTCGCTGGGCTGGCATGAACGAACCACAGGCTGATGTTCCAAGACTAGTTGCCAGCCAATCCGGAGCTTAGGAGAAACTTTCGTACCGCCCCATCATGGCGACTGTTTCCGTTGCCCACTTACACAAAGAACCAACGACCCTTATTCACTGGTTCTCTTTTTAATCCCTTTCAGCTTCGATTTTCTATATTTTTCATATCTTTGGTCAATTTATTTATGCAGAAATTCTACGCGAGCGTCAATTTATGGAGAAACTGTATAGCGGAAAAAATAACAGTTCAGGTATCCTTATAAGGATTTTCAAATGGTACTAAGGAGATTTATATAGATTTGGACTCATTGGATTGATTGGCATATAATAATAATAATTTTATTGTCCGTAATATTATTTTTTTTAATTTGTAGTTTTCTTGGGTATCAATGAATTAATCAAATCGCTGACCGATTAGAATTGCAAAATATTTTACACACTGACAGTTTGCAATTTTCAAATCGCATGAATCATCAATTTCGTTACTGATTATGCACGCCGATTGAATTGAACGAATAGACGTGCGTAAGCTCCAAAAAGCGAAAAAGGAACATGAAGAGAGGCGATGTATTCAACTAGAATAAATAAAATTAAAGAAAAAAAAAATACGGTATTCGATCTTTGAAAGAATACAATCCTAGCGATATCCACTGTTAGATACATATTCTTTATTTTCGTCATGCCGACAAGACTTAATCATTATGACGTAAACTTGTATCGTCAGCAAATGAAAATAAAAATAAAAATGCCTCGTGAACAAAATCCGTCAAGCGACTTCAATTAGCAGATAAGCCAAACAGTCGTTGCTTAATTATTCTTTGGAATGCACGTGTAAGCGTCCCAATTACATAATTAGCCATGCGTTAACGTAATAAGATTTTGCGACCAGCTATATATGTATGTCAAAAAACGTATAGGTTTTATAAATTTCAATGATACATTTGTATGAAAGAAATGATTTCTCTTTTTTTTTTCAAATTTCTTTTTGATCCCGCAATACGAATTTATATAGTATGTAATCGGCTGGTATTGTCGACCGCAGTTAGAGGTGCTGCTGGTAAAGGTAACTGAAAGCAGAAGAGGAGGTGGAAAGCAGCGACCAGGAGTTTCTACAAGTCACGAAACGTCGGCTCCGCCTCCATCTTCCCACTGCTCCGCGTTTAGTCCTTCCCCACGCGACGCCGGCCGCCAGGCAGTCAGGCGTCCAAGCCAGACTCAATCTCGGTTCAGTTTCGTTTCTTCTCGGTGCTTCGTTCAACTGGAGCATCTGTGTCGTATGAACAAGATTTTAGATTAAGCAAAGTGTAACGATTATTGTAAATGTGCAACGACCTTATTTGCTGATTTGTTAAGACGTAACGATAAAAAGTGAAACCTGTGCCAAGTCCGGAGAGGAATTATTCTGATAGAACTGCGAGCCAGGTAAATTGTCATTTATTTCTTGTATTTGTTTCGCGTAACACGAGTGACAGTGATTTTAATGACAATTATTAAGCAGCAAATGAAATAAGGGGTTATCATTGGTTTATTTTTTGCTCGACTGAGGTTAACGCTAAGAACGATGTAGTGGTGGTGTACGAAGATTTTTTATCGAACTGCAGAACATGTTTTAACGGGTGATAGGTTATTGATCGTACTTCTTTTTAAATTGAGGAAATCAATAATTAATTATATATACTTGACAATTCAAGAGAATTGTTTTAATTCGTCGTCTTACTTGACTTTTTAGTGCTTGCTGTAAGACTCGTCAATAATTTCCGTTGCGACGGATCGCGCGAGATTCGGACTGAAACGAATTTCAATAGATTCGCAATTATTTGCGTCAATTGAAATTACGATATTGAATGAGTCGTGACAAAAGTGATTCCAATAGTGAGGCATCGTTGAAAATTATTTATCGATCCGTCCAGCACTGTTAATGACCATATAAATTTGTACATCATTTTAGTTCCTTGATTCGCCGTATCTAATAAAGCAGCACTGCAGTCTTTCTTCACGAAGGACGAAGAGTAAGATCTGTCGATTATTTCGTGTTTTAGGTTTACAAACTTAAACGTCGGTTAATTCGAACAAAAGCATTATTATGGTATGTGGCTGTCAAGCAGCAGTGGGTATACAAGCGTGTGCCCTCTCTGACATTCGTTTGAGAAACCATTAAGTTTTTACGATTTGACACTAAGAACAGTGAATGGTGGTAACCGTGATGTTAAGCAGTGGCAACCCCGGAGAAAAGTCAGTATGTTTATTGAGGCTTTTAAAATTTAAGTACCACAGTGGTTGTGTGTTTCGCTGTTGTTACGTGAACGAAAATTTTAGAGGTTCAGAAGCAACCGGTAGAAAAATTCGTGAACGGTAAATTGTCGATCCATCATGCAATTTTACTCTTAAAAAATTTCGCACGCTTCGGTCGTCGTTCTAAGCGTGCCAACAAATTTCGTAAAGTTTGTAAACTCTGTCCGCGATCATTCACAATTTATGTGGACTCGACGCACGGTTTACAAAACACCAAGATAAACGTCGTATCGCGAGATATACACGAACAACATTTCACCAATTGATAGTTTTTACATCTCACGTTTTATCCGATTTGCACCTGGTGGGGATGGAGTTAAAAGAAGTAAAAACGTAATTTATATATAGACGTTCACTTTTTCTTTTAAAACGAAGGTACACGGCCATACAAAACGCGTGGCCCTAAATTCTGAAAATGATAAGCACAAATATGTTGAATATAAGAAAATGTTTAACATACGCAATCGCGATAGTAATTAGTAAACAAATAAACAATTGTATTCATAGCTTTCGATACCATAATACGTTTGTTTGACTTGAACAAGTATAATCAAATATAAATATTTATAAGTAATTTTTCATTGAACGATAAGCCATAGTCATGAACGTAAGCGTTGCTCAATTAGAGTTATCTATAGAAATCATTAAGTAACCCACGAGCAGATTAACGACTGTGAATAAACAATAAAGTAGCAAGAAAGACGCGTCTACAGAAGTAAACTTTTTGCTGGCCGTTAATCGAAATCCAAGGAGCATGGAAGATCACAAAGGATCTAGAAAGATCGAGTAGAGTTCGTTCTTGGCATCAGACTGAATTACGAGACCGCAATGCAAGACTCACACTTAAAGCCAGATTTATTATCGGAGAATTAAGCCATTGCCCGAAGGAGCAACGAGTCCTTTTTTTGGTGAGAGGTAAAAAGATAAGGAAATAATTTATTTTGAAATTTGAAAGAAAAACATTTTTAATCGTACTTTACCATATGTGATATACGAAGCCGTTTCGAATGTTATTCAATCGAAATGATTTTTCAGTTCATCTCGAAGAAGCCAGTCGAAGGTCTCGCAGGATCGAGTATAAATTACGAGGTTGCTAGTTGTGTCAGGATTTACGATCCGGGAACGGGACTAAGGAGTCGAGTACTCGCGTTACCCTAGCCGGCGGAAGTCCCGATGCGTCCCTCGGGAACCGCCGAGTGGAATCATCGGCGTCGGCAAAGTCTCCGGGGCTAAGTGCTCAGCTGTTCCAGACTTGTCAACCGAATAGCGGCGTCGTGTTAGACATATCGTCGAGGCTGGAGATAGCAAGGCGCGCGCGGGCCTTGCAGCGACGCCAGGCATCGCCAACGTCGGCAGGCTTCCTCGGGAGCGTCGGGGTGTCTACGTTCGCCTGGAGAAGAGGGAGGCACTGTGTCACTGTCATTTAAAACACATTAAACCCACGTTTCAATACGCGGCCCTGTCTAAACTCCCGTTTCGTGTCGCACCCACGTACGTCATCGTATACCTAACCTAACCTCTAATACAAAATCACCAGGACTCGCTAGATATACTTCTGGACGAGACGCACTTTCGATACTTTCCTCGCTTCCTTTTTTTCGGTGACTTTAAAAGCCTCGATGAGACAAGAGGAAATTTGTGGCTCGACGAAAAGAAGAAAAAAAGATGGCGTCCGATGGCGCGGGAGAGTGAGAAAAATGGTATTTCGAAATTTCTACAAATCACGGCTTTCGTTTATACGAATCGATTGAGATTCGTGGGTATCGCGTAAACAAAGAGGCGTCGAGATTTTTTGTATATTTTTTTTAACTCTACACCTTTTCTTGTTAATATCGAGATGGCGTCGTTTGCCAAAACATGGCGGTTACCTCGGCTTACAATATCTTTAGCGAAAAAGAGGCGCGGTAGGAATATCGAAGATATTGAGAATGAAAACGACGAGTGAACTGGAAACGTATATAAAGATCCTGTGAGAAAATATAATTGGCTGACGCAAGATTCTCTTTGTGTGTTACAGATTCTACATCGTCCCTCAAGATTCATACTAGACGATAATGCTAACGTCTTTTCGGATTATCTTCATCTTTACACGAGACCTGAACCATCGCTGAAACTTATCGTTCCAACTTCCGCTTGGTATTGGCCAAGTCTGACGATTTGCATGAGACGAAAATGTAACGAAGTACGAAAATAAAAATATATCTTCTGGAAGATCGATCAAGCTTTGTGGGTCCGTCAAGAAAGAAGAGGACAGGCACGACACGATTTCGAAAAAATTTTTCGTGTCTAACAGCCAGCACTGATCCGACTCTTACGCAATGTTTTCATGAAACGTGAATTTCATCAGAAGGAAATAATATTAACTAATGAAATTGAGAAGACGACATTTCATGTGATGCTTATAAGCTGTTAGCAGTTACTATAAGGATAAACTGAAAATTTTTTTTATTGTATATAATATATCGAGTCCGTGAATGAAATTTACGTGAAACGTTAAACCATCGTGACGGAGTTATCCGAGCTAAGGAAATTTGTGATTTGAGATTTGTATTGGAAGAAAAAATAAATAAAAATCAAGTGCAGTGTTCATGAACAATTTACAAGCTAGTAAAGACTGTTTTAAACAGTGTTGCGAAGCTTTCCCGAGTGTTGAGAAAACAGTGACTGCTAAAACCCAGAACGACAAGATTCGTTGTCTAGAGGGCAGGCTTAGTCTAGAGGTGATCAAAGGACATAATTGTGGAGGGCCTATCAGCTTATTGGGGAGATTTTGTCGAGCAGCGTCGCGTAAATGCAGCTGCGGCAGCCACCTTCTTTATGAACTACTCAGCTGCAGACACAAGCAGAATGGTTTTGCATCACATTCCTGGACCCGGGGTGAGTGTTGTGTTTACCATTTTTTTTTTTTTTTTTTTTAAGTATAATAATTTCACGAAAATTCAACGGCAACAGACAGTAACGCTATCACGGTACCACGTTACTGTACAAGTCGAAAGTTGGTTAAATCGTGTACGCAATATTTACTTGCTCAAAAGGAATTTTCTTTCATTGGAAAGCTAACGAGTGTCGAGTATTGTAAACGATGCAATCTCGAATGGCAATCGGTCGACTTATTACCGACTGCCAGTACGATAGAGTTTATCGATATTATTACCACTATTAGTACCACGGGCAACGTATACGACTACTGGGCATTATACAGCTTAATTGCATCCCGTAACATAATAATTTTTTTTTTTTTTTTTTCATCAAGAATGCCGTTAGCGAGAGTTAGTGTTTATCGGTCAACGATACGGTTATAATAGGCATAAAATAGTCTGATATGAAAATGAATCCCCATGGGTGGCTCATGGGACGTGAAAAATAATTGCAAGATCCCATTAGCTCTTGATGTTTTCTATATTCTGAACTATCTTATTCCTGTCACTTTTGTTTGTTATCACTGCGTAGGAACGAAGGAGGTCGTGCCCCCGAAAATTTCGCAACGCGCAAGCTCCTACGTCGCGTTACTTGGCGTTTTCATTGCAATTGCGACTTCGTTATTTCTCCTTTCCATTTTTTTTTGTATGTTGTGACCATTTTTTTATTTTACCAACCATCATTTTGGTGGTAACGTGTAGGGCATATATCGTAGATACATATAAGTAGTATCAGCTGATTGGATTATTACTCGTCATCGATATTATTCGATTGATCGACCATGGGTCAGCTTACTGTGTTATCGATTGATTTCAATGGAAAGGTCATTTGTCTCATTAGTGCAGCTCTGAAGATCATTTTGAGGAAAATTAATAATCGATTGACTCACTCTGCGTCCAAGTAGACTTTACCGTGATTCGATATAGCTAGAAATTTTTTAATTTCAACGACGTAATCGCGTTATTAAAGTAATTGACTTTTATTTCAAAATTATTTTTTTTCCTTATTAATACGAGCTATTTTGGAAATGCCTTTTATCAGTCAAGGTAAAATGATTTACATAGTGTCCATATTAGTTGATTATTATTAATGCTATACGATGTGAACGAGTGTTATAAGAAATGAAAAAAAAAGAATATAATGGAGTCTGCTTATCGAGGGCTGATAAGAGTAACGTATCAGTGTTTGTCATTGATCCGAATCGATCTCTGTATTTTGCTACAGACCTTCGTTAACATAGATATAGAAAGTCAAGGAAATCACGGCTATGAGAGAACAGTGTAATGGGTGGACAAGAGGGAATAAAAAATTATCAATTTTCAATTTGCCCTTAGCATACCACTTTGTTATTCGCAATAGCCTAATTCTGATGGTATGAAAAATTTTATTCAATTTTCCACGTTAAATGTAGATAAAAATTTTTGTAAATTATTTTCACAATTTTTTGTCCCCCCCGCATTGCGCTGCATGTTTATCTAGGGAGAACAAGTAATTGAATGACTGTCCTGTAAAGTTAATGATATCGGTACCCAAAGGGGTCGCAATGGTCTCTGCGATTCTAGAACAGCGACGGCAAACGATTTCTCAACGTCCCACTGTTGATGCAGTTCTGCGGTAGTGCAACAGCCGCCACTATATCTTGTCATGTTTGTAAGCAGAAGCGTCTGAACATTTAGCGAACCGTAGTATTCGGCTTTGGGGCTCTTGTTCGATTTTTAAACAGCACCCTGTGGCGACAGAGGAGATTAATTAAACGTTAAAAAAAATTTTGCCCGGATTTTCGAAATTATACATTTTGTACCACCCTCAGTCCCACTGACGCTCTGATTCGATACGACGACAAGGAGTACGCAAGGCAAAAGTGTGTAATACCCGTGGTGGGAATAAAATATTTGCAAAGAAAAAGCCCAACGAGAGACATTCATAAAGTCGTAAAACAAGATCGCAAATTAACGATCTAGCGAGATCGTAAGTTTTCCTTGGCATAATACGGTGTCACAACACTTAGCCAGTGTTTGTAAGCTCCTGGCGACGAGACTTCAAACATCGCAGAGTCCGCCAAAAGTTCTGACATCTTGGCAGGGACCAGAGGAAGTACCCCTAGATTTAAAAAAAAAAATATTCGAAATCCCCTCAAACTTTTTTTTTTTTTTTTCCAAAATGACAACGTACCAGACTCGACAGTGATTTTGAATGTTTTTTTTTTTTTTTTCAACAGGAACTGCAACAAGGCAATGACAGCCACCCTATAGCAGAACTGGGCACGATGCCGCAGGAGTCTCCGCACTCGTTGAAAATCAAGCAGGAGCCGTTTCAGCAGTCGCCGGGATCGACTCTTCCGTCGCTTCATCAAGGTACGATTTCACTTGTCAAAGCTTCATGCCAATGGCGCGCGGTTACTCGGCTGGCGCGTTCACTGGCACTTCTGCAGCCGCCAAGGGTCATCATCTTGTTTCGAAAACACCGCAACGCCAAACGTACCGAGAAACAACAAACAGTCCGGAGCGATTAGTGTGTGAAAGACCCGATGTTGGTTAAGAAGTCAAGCGGTGCTCTTGAGAAGCTTTTTTAATCAGCCTTTTGTCTCTCTCGCTCTGTCCACCTTCCCTCTCTTTCCCTCACACGTCACTCGTACCACTCGAAAGCAGCGAAACTCCTAATAGCGCCAGTCGCACGTGTCCCTGCTTCGTCTGGGGGGGTAAAAAATTCGGATAAAAAATATTTAAATATCCGTCCAAGCACCAAAGACACCGCCCACGTGTTCATATGTCCACATATGGACGGCCAATTTTTCACACCTGTATCACACCGTTATTTATATCCTGCGTTATCGTTGACAATTAAATTTTCTTTTTCGAGACCAAGATCTCGTGAAGTTGCAATATTGGCTACGGGAGGGCCGGTGTAAGAGCTGCGTTCTAATAATACGAGGAAGATGAGAATCTGGAAAGAGTACGTGCGAAGAGAGGGGCGGGAGGGAGTGACGATGGGGAGGAGTGAGACGGAGATAGGGAGAGACAATGAGAGAGAGAGAGAGAGAGAGAGAGAGAGAGAGAGAGAGAGAGAGAGAG